TTCCGGGTTTTGAAGCGGCAGCTGGTTTGTTTTTCTTAGCAGCAGCTGCTGCTTCAGCAGCAGCAGCAGCGGGAGTAGGAGTAGCAGCAAAATCTAAGAAGCCTCCTCCTGTCTAGCACTGAGGTAATGGTTTATATAGAAGTTGTTTATATTTTCTTTTTTATTTTTTTGTTATTTTATTATTTTTATTTTATTTATTTTATTTAATTTTAATTTCCTTTTCTCTCTCCCCTATAAACAGGACACGAGCGCAGCTGCTCGGCGAGGAGGGGAGCCCCAGGGCCCCAGGCGTCGATTGCGTGTGTGTTTACAGCAAAAGCTGCTGAAATATAAAAATAATTTCAATAAAAATAACAAAATAAATTAATAAAATTAAATTTAAACGTTTCAGCGAAAAAAACGAGCACAATAACCTGCCTATACACCCCAGGAGCAGCTGGGGTGTATAGGCAGCTCCGCTGCGGCTCCTCTCCCCCACCCTGTTTTGTGTGTGTGTATAAATAAAATAATTTATTTTTAAATAAAATAAAAATAAAATTAATTTATAGTTTACACTTTTTTAAACACTACAGGCCTTTCTTTTTCCCGCTCTCTCCCCACACCAGCAGCAGCAGCAGCAGCAGCAGCAGCAACAGCAGCAGCAGCAGCAGCAGCAGCAGCAGCAGCAGCAAGTGACCTCACGGGGCTAGACACTCACCGTTCCGCTGCTTTCTTTTTGCTTTTTTTATAACAGCAGCTGAAATATAAAAACAATTAAAAATATAAATATATTTATTTGTTTTTATTATATTAATAAATATATATTTACACATATATAAACATAAATATAAAAACAAAAATAAATATAAATCTGCATAGAATATATAATTACAGTCGCCATCGCCGACACCTCCCCCCCCACACTCGACCCCTAAACCCTAAACAAAACCCTAAACCCTAAACCCTAAACCCTAAACCCTAAACCATAAACTTGAACTGCAGCAGATGCAGAGAGAAGAAACTGCAGCAAGAGAAACACAGCTACTCAACCACGATACTCCTGCAGCAGCAGCTGCAGCAGCAGCAGCAGCAGCAGCAGCAGCTGCTGCTGCTGCTGCTGCTGCTGCAGCTGCTGCTGCAGGAGCAATATTCATGTGCTGCAGTTTCTCCGTTTCTCCGCCTTTCGTCTGCAGTCCCTCCCCCCATTGAAACCCTAAACCCTAAACCCTAAACCCTAAACCCTCAGTAGGCGAACATGCACGACCCCACGTGCACACACACACACACACACAAATTCAAACCCTTTCTGTTTCAGGGTTAAGGTTTTGGGTTTTATGGTTTAATACTGAGGGTTTAGGGTCTAGGGTTTAGGGTTTAGGGTTTAGGGTTTGGGGGGGCTCTCGACACACACACTGCTGAGGCAGCTAGCTGGTGGCGGGGTCGGCTTAACCCCAAACCCTAAACCCTAAACCCTAAACCCTAAACCCTAAACCCTAGATATTGAAGCATAAACTGCAACCCGTGAGATATAAACTCCCATATGCAAACCCTAAACCCTAAACCCTAAACCCTAAACCCTCTCTCTCTCTCTCTGTGTTGGTGGTGTTCTGCCGCTGCCTGTAGGGTTGTTTAGGGGGGGGCTGGTGG